AGCACCTGGGTGGCTGCAGCCGGGCTCAGCCTCCTGGGACCCCCCGTCTCCGTCCAGGCCCCATCTGTGCTGAGGAGAAGGACCCCTGTGACCCCAACCCCTGCCACGGGGCGGCCCCCTGCCGTGTGCTGCCCGGGGGCGAGGCCGCCTGCGAGTGCCCCCTGGGACGAGGGGGTGCTCTCTGCCAAACAGGTCGGAGGGACCCCGGGCCTCAGGGCTGGAGGGAGGTCAGGTCACACGTTTGGGTTTAGGGCAGTGATGGCGAACCTTCTGAGCTCGGCGTGTCAGCATTTTGAAAAACCCTAACTTAGCTCTGGTGCCGTGTCACATGTAGAAATTTTTTGATCTTTGCAACCATAGTAAAACAAAGATTCTATTTTTTATATTTATTTTATGTATTTAAATGCCATTTAACAAAGAAATATCAACCAAAAAATGAGTTTGCGTGTCACCTCTGACGCGTGTCACAGGTTCGCCGTCACTGGTTTAGGTTCTGCTCCGGGTTGGGGTTGGGGTTAGGCCAAGGCTCACAGGGTGGTGGGGGTGCAGGGACCCCAGAGCCAGGCCCAGGCCCCGGGTGACCTCCTCTCGTCCTCCACAGAACGGAGCGGCCCCGGGCCCTTCCTGGCTGACTTCCGCGGGGCCTCCTACCTGGAGATGAAAGGCCTGCACACCTTCGAGCGGGACCTCGGGTCAGTGGGGCGGGCGGGTGCGGGCAGCAGCCCCCCAGCCCTCGGCCAGCCCCTGAGGGTCAGCATGTCCTCCCTGACCGCACCCCGCCCCCGGCCCCAGGGAGAAGATGGCATCTGAGTGTGTGACCCTGGCCCAGCCCGTGTGTGGCTCTGACGGGAACACGTACGCCAGCGAGTGTGAGCTGCATGTCCACGCCTGCACACGCCAGATCAGCCTGCGTGTGGCCTCAGACATGCATTCTGCCCTTTACTCTTTTCCTTCTCTCTGCCTGGAGTATGGATACCATGTTGGAGGGGCGGCAGCCCAGCTTTTCAATTCTGAGGGTGGCCGGGGGCGGGGGGAGCACGGTGTGACCGCGGGAGGGACGTTAGGCTGCGGTGTCCACTCTGTCCCAGGCTCTGGTTCCGTCAGCCCATGCGGGGTGCGGGGGAGACACCAGGCAGACATGCAGGAGCCGGGGGCAGGGGGAGCATGGTGTGGCCGCGAGAGGGACGTTAGGCTGCGGTGTCCACGCTGTCCCAGGCTCTGGTTCCGTCAGCCCATGTGGGGTGCCGGGGGAGACACCAGGCAGACATGCAGGAGCCGGGGGCAGGCGTTGCTGTGGCAACAGCAGCTCAGCTCCCTGTGCTCCCCGCCCTCCATAGAATTGAGGGTGCTTCCTCCCACCCTACTTCCTGAGTCTGCTGGGCGGTGGTGGGGGACCCCCCCATCCCCATAACTTATTCATGCTAATTGGACCCAGTGAAATATTTATTAGGTCCAGACAGCTGTGGCCTTTAATGCCCCCCCCCCGGTGTGGTGGCCCCCACGCGACTCTCACTGAACTGTTTTCTCTCCCGTCTGTCCTGTGCCTCTGTCTGTCCGCTCTCTGTTCTCTGGCCTTGCTCTGCAACCCCCACCCCGCTCTCCGGATGTCAGAAATCCCGAAAGGTACTGGGCTCCCCGCTCGCTCATCTGCTAGTCTCTGCGCCTCCCTCCCTCCCTCCCTCCCTGGGCGGGTGCCTGAGGAGTCTGCCTGCCTCCTGCCCTCCGGACCGAGTTGCCTCCCCTGGGGCCTCCTCGCTGGGCTGCTGCAGAGGTTCCGTGACAGGACGTGTGCTGGGCACATGCAGCTCCCAGCTGCAACGTTAAGAACTGAGATGTTTACAGAAAAAATGATGGGTCTGCAGACCCCCCCATGCTGGGCCTTCCTGGGTGTGCGGGGGAGGACAGTACTGAAGTGGGGCGCAGAAGGACAGGTGGGAGAGGAGGAGGCATGTGGGTGCCCAAGGGGCCCTGGGGAGAGATGCTCACAGGCTGGGGAGGCCGTGGGGTGGGAGGACAGGAGAGCTAGCCACATAGAGCGAGGGCCTGGGGCAGCTGGCCTGGGGGGTGGAAAGAGGGTGGGCAGAGGGTGGACCACGTAGGGTGGTCCTGGGGTTGGGGGGAGCCTCCAGAGAAGCAGGAGAGATGTGGGAAGATGGGAGCCAGGGGCAGCGGGGCGGGCGCTGGGCCCTGGCCTAAGCCAGAGAGTGGAGCTGTGACCATCCTCGGGTCTCCCACCCCCTCCCCGAGCTGTGCCCTCAGGTGACCAGGAAAGACAGGGAGTGGTCTGGGAGGTGGGCGGTAGCACGGGTCAGGGGTGTGGGTGGGCCAGGGCGGGGAGGGGGGGTCACTCAGGTGAGGGCCTTTGTTCTGCTGGGGGAAGGC